GAGAGAGAGAGAGAGAGAGAGAGAGAGAGAGAGAGAGAGAGAGAGAGAGTCCTGACGATAGGAGTATGCAAAGTAGAACACACCTGCAACCACTCATCCATCGAAGCATCAGTAGTTTTAGTTCCCACTTCCACCTTAGTCACCCTCTTGGTTTTCTAATTCAAGCAGGTATACAAATAAGAGCAATCAAGAACGGTTCACAAATCAAATCATTGTCTCTGGAATGAAGGTTCAAAGAGGATGCAAGTAGAGTCTTTCCAACTAGAATTCATAATCAGCTACTGCAGATGCTTGTAAAAAATAATAAGATAAAACAGCTACGGTAGAAAAAATCAAAATATCCTCACATAATATCTCTCTATCAACAAGTACAATTATAGACGTGAGTCAAAACCGAGAATATGAGAATCTCCCAGGATTTACAGAATGTGAATTATGCAATATAATGCACTCTTCTAAAAAGGTTCAAGGCTGGAAGAGTTAGTAAAATATGTATGCATAAGTATATCTAAATACACGACTTTATGCACAAGAATGTGTCGGCATACAAGAAAACATGTCCAAGAGAATCCAACAACATATATTCTAACCAAAAGAAAAACTAGAAAAACTTACTAGAATATCGTTCATTCCTGAAAATGAAAACAATACTCCAGAAAGAGACAAATCACAATTTGCATGTTGATGGACTTTGAACAAAAAGAATATGCTGACAATATTTTGGAATGTGCTGTGGTGAGAATAGGCAGGTGCCTAAAATTGTACATAAGAGGAAAAAAATTGAACACGATATAAAATGACGTGCTACTGAATTATCTGTATGGATATATCCATTCACAAACTGCCTAACATTAAAAAATGGATATAAAAATTAACACAATTTATTCACTAGAATTAGATATGTAATTTTCCTCATAACAACATATATGATTTACAAGAATGAAGTATGATATATCAAACAGTTTATACCAAAGTGGGAAAGTGCAATTCATTTAACGTAAATCAAGTCAATTTACTTGACACTTACCCAAAAAAAAGTCGATTTACTTGACCTCAACACCCTGGTTTATGATTGACTTGACCTAGTCGTATATTACCTTGCCAACTTCCATCTAAAATAGTTACTAAATATTTCCTACAATCTTTATACGTTAAATGTGTTATACCTTTCCCACATTCTCCAAAAAATATTACCTTTCCTAACCAACTTGGCAATGTGATCTTTAACACCTATGATTAAAGAATAAGACCTCCAAAGTCCAAACCACCAGGTAACAGGCTTACACCCCACCTCATGCAAGCTTCAAACATCACATTGCTGCATAGTTAACTAGCTTGCTTCAAAAGAACCATGTAATACGCACATAGCCTACTAGCACTAATACACCATGGAAAATAAGAACCAACAATGAGGCCAAACCCATAATATGGGGGCAAGCACAAGGCATACAAGCCAAGAGGAAAAAGAATTATACCCTTCCATGCGTAAGCTTTTAAACACGACATTGATATATATGTGACTAGCACACTTCAAAAGAACTGAGGTATCCCTATAACCTAGTGGGCACAAATAGACCATGGAAAATAAGCCCCCCACAAATGGGCCAAACACCTAGAAGGGGAATAAGCTCAAGCTGAAAGCATGTTTTGCCACAGATAATTTAAAAGCTCTAGATCTTAATAGACCATGATAAAAAATTTATTAGCAAACCGATTTGGCATTAAATATCAAGATTTGCCAGATGTTGCTCGCAACAAATGACACTACTGTTCCTTTTGAGAAAAGATGTAACACAGGGACACATAGTAGTTTTAAGAAAACGAGTAACAATAAATTGCTTGAGCTCATCATATTCTGATTACATGTATAATATGAAAATGAAAACTGTTGCAGCTATGACAATGCTTCAGGTTACCATAAATGTAGATTACCTTAGAGATGTTCTGTATTTGACCATATATCCATAACCCAAAGAGACCAATGAGGGCGAGTCCAAGAGTAAACAAGAACACAGACTCAACACTTACGAAGCCACCAGCCTCAACAACTTCAATAGTACCATTGTAAAATACACTTTGATACTGCTGTTCATCTACCTCATACATGATAGTACCCACAAGATCAAATGAACCAGGCTGCAGCACAAGGAAAAAAAGAATGTAAGGAGAAGAGAGAGACAAAAGACACTCGGGAATATAGCAATGTAACTCAAAAGTGAAATTCAGGGAACAACAGATTAATTCCATACTGAAGATAGAAAGTACCTGTAAGTATTTGTTAACAGCAAATATATAAGGAAATGTTGATTGTACTGAAAGTGGCACTGATGCATTATAGAATTCCTGTAAGCCCAAATAGCAGAAACTTCAGTGCAAGAGAATGGGATTACACTGAAAACATATAAAATAAAAGTTTGACAACAAATATCAAACCCAAATTATAATTTCAAGAAAATGATTGAGAACAGCTAACAAAGAAAGTCAAAAATGTAATGTAGTATCAATGTTCCTTTTACCAAAGCAAACTAGAATATCAGAAACAGAGGAACTCGGTATATGAAATCAGGGATAATAGCTGTCCTGCTAAATAAAAGAAAAGCCAGCGCATATGACTTCACACCAAATAAAGACATTGTTAAAAATATCACAACAAAGATGAGACTCAGGTACAAAAAGAAGATTTAGAGTGTAAAAGAGTAGGACTTCAGGATTGGTACAAAAAAAGATTTAGAGTGTAAAAGAGTAGGACTTCAGGATTGATAAAAGATCCTGTATCTACATGAAAAAATTGACTGCCACCCTTTAACCACATAATTTCCCATTACTCATAGGATCACACCTAAATAGTCATTTGAAAATTACTGGCCTCACAATGAATTCAGTCAAGATTCGTACACCTCCAAAGATGTCTCCAATTCTGCCAAAATTGATATCTTAAAATCTCACATCCCTCCACAGCACTTAAAATATCACCTTCTAAGTTCTTTACTAAAATCACAGACTATACAGAATCTTTATTTACTTTGATGGTGTTACTGACATCCTGACTGATGGGCCCCTGGTAGGCAGGATCCCCACCTGGTGTACACATGATATGAAATCCAAAACATATAACTTAAATCAGTGCTCTAGAACCTTGCAATCCGCCCCAAAAGATTGGTTGTTTCCTTTCTACCACAAAATAATATAAGTGTCTATGGCACCATATATTGGGTCCATTGTCAACAAATAAAATAAACGATCCCTTGTGATTCAATCGTGCCCCAAATCATCCTTATAACAATCTAGAAGAAACAATTAGGAAAAGCCTATCCAATTAGAATAACCACTGTCTGATATAGTATGCATGCATGCATGAAAAACATACACTCAACCATCCAATCTTGATCAAATGGTTGAAATTGTGTCTAGGTGTTTTAATTTTCTTTTATTTCCTATCAATGGGATTAAAATAAAATTTTGGGTATCCACACTTCAACAAGGGCACACTAGTTAAAAAACTAAAAAATTTATTTACAATAAACTTGCTGGGGTTATTTTGGTCATTTTATTTTAAGGCTCGGATGACGATGATGATTATATTTAAAATATTTGTCTTATATATTTTACAGGCAACCCTTGTTGGAAGTTGGATGCCCAAAATCACAACTCGATTGGACTTGTAAAAAAAAAATAATTAAAATTCAACGAGTGCTCGCAATCGTCGGAACAAGATCGGACCGCCGATATTGGTAGTGCTACACTATACATATAATGATATGGTCTTTTTTAGATTTATAATAAACATATTGACAACACAACTGATATTAAAGAGACTAACCACACTTATCATCACCAACCAGAGCTGTAACCACTCCTAACACAACCGATATTAAAAGAGACAAACCAAACTTATCCTCACAAACCAGAGCTGTAACCACACCTGATCAATTTGTCATAGAATAGACATATTTTGGCAGTACTATACCTCTTCTTTCTTGAAAAATCAATAGCAAGAAGCCAAGAAGCTATTCAAACAGTTTGATAGAGAGCTGAAACTAGCAGTATTTGAATAGAAAGCTGAAACTAGAGGCACTAAGTCCTTTCTCCAAACATACCTAACAGGAAAGCTTGCACCCACATAATTTGTTATGCTGTGGTATTTATTTTTAAATTTCCCCGAGTCTCCATCTCCCAAACCAATCTGTCATGTTTCATACCCCTCTTCTTCATGTATATTGTGTAGAATGTTTAACAAACTCTAGCAATTCCTCCATATCTATACCCGGCATTGTTTTCGAGGATTAGGGATGCAACTAATTCCTTTAAGGACTTTTGAAAAGATAGCCCTCAACTCTACAATCCAGAATGTCCAAGAGATCACTGATTATGCATTACCTCCCTAACCAAAATACTTCTTACCACTCCCCACAACAATCCTCGGAAAATCTCTAACATCAGCCATTTTTTCACACTGGAAGAGTTCCCAGAATGGGGGCACATTTCATTTCATGGGCTCCATCAAAGAAAGAGCCCCCTCTCCCCTTTGACGAGCTCCATATGAGAGTAGAAAATGTATCAACAGGAAAAATTTTGTTTCTAAAGAAGAGGGAACATTTTCATTCCAAATCAAGCTTGAAAGAGCACTCGAGCATGCCATAGTGCTCTCTAACTAGGGCGCATCTGGCAAGCAACAGTCCCCCACCTACGCACCCTGCTCCCACTCTCAATGACTATAGCAAGATTTTTAGAGTGGTGGTTTCGAATGGAATAGAAAATTTTTACATTAAGTTAGAGCCTATTGCATTCAAGGATCACTACAAGGACTTCAACGAGGAAACTTCACAGAGCTACAAGAGAGGGAAACAACAGGAAGAGTTTCTTGAGCTGAGGCAACCTGTCTGTACGTGGAGATAGATGAAACCATTCCTATGAAATACTTTCATGGTGTTCCATTGATGAGAATCAACCATATATCTTCCATGCATATATCCACCATGGACATACTGACACTCTTAGCAGACACCGCAAAATAGCTAGGAATTAGCAAGACCTTAGAAGTTAGAATCTAGAAGAACCTCAGCACTCTCAGCTCGATATCTTGCATGTCAGCTATCTCCCCAAGAATCATTATTGAAGCCCCAAGAACAATGTACTGCACTCCCTCTCCCCTTGTCCCTTTTCCAACGATTCACTAGGCCTCCATCCCATGCCACAAGAAACAAATTAGAACTTGCATATGTTAACTTGCATATGTTAAAAACCTCCCAACGGGCACTGCCAAAGAGTCTTTTGGGTAGCTCATTACAACTCCAATATTAGAAATTCAATCTCACCCTTGTTTCTTAATAGAGCTGGTGCCATCCCCCCATTTTTTCTTCTGGGCTTTCTCCTACTAACAAGACCCATTTCCCCCGTACACTTTCCCCTTCCCTCTCTGTAACTTCCTCATCACCTTGCACTACTAAAAACCCTCACCACTTACCAAGATCTTAAAAAGAATTAAAGTTTTCAAACTTCACCTATGAATCTCCCTTCTTTTGGAGAAAATTGGATCAGTCCCGAAGCTAGACAACTTTCTGAAAACAGCTTTTGCCCTTTCTTCTTTCTAAGGTCACAACTGAAGGAGGTCTATGGTTTTCTGAATTTGTTTCAATATTGGAACCTTTTAAATCCTCATTTTGTTCTCTTAGGCCTGGAAGTTGTATGCATAATACTCCCCAAATGCTTTGCAATACTTTGTATTTAATATAATTTCTATATTGCTTATTTGCAACTCCACAGTTTTACATTTTCTTAGGTGCTGTTTATTTGGCTCAACAAGTCTATAAAGCAATGGAACTATTTATTGATGAGGGAAAAATAGTGTCTTTTATTGTTGGCTGTATTTCTTTAACAAGCGGAGTTTAAAAGTACTTCACCCATTAATGTAGAACCAAGGTGGGCCATTTTCACTCCTAAAAATGGTGGAGGGAAACAAATAGCATATACCAAACTTTGATCTATCCAAACAGTGCATTAGGGTATCCGATGTTCTTGGAAAAAAATTGCCTAGTTTAGTTTAAACAATTTTCACATAATAATTACAGTTTCTGTACACAAATTTCTCCTTTTCATAGTTAATTTTGCCTTTTTTCTGTTTGAAACTGACAACCAGCAACCAAGTTCAAAATTTAATAGAAAATTGAACCATCACCAGAAATCAACAAACATAATCTAAATTTTTTTTGAATCCCAAAAAGTAGCTCAGTGTGGCTTAATAAAGAGTTAAAGCTGAATTGTCAAAAACAGTGCAAAACATCGCATATGAACATTGCATTTAAACAAAAAAAAAAATGTATTGTGCTGTCCAAGAAAACGGGGAGTTCAAAAGGGTGCTGAATTAGTATGAATTGAGAATTTAAAGCAATAGGCAATAACAGAGATAGGAAATTTAACAAGTTACCCTAAATTCTTTATCAGACTGACCTGTAGGGTAAGATTCTGAACAAGTAGCTTATGATCAAAAGGGAGATGAAGGGTGGCCCTCATTGTAAGAACCTTCAAAGGTGACTCACCTGCATCCCCGGCATGAATGAGAACACTCAATGACTAGCAAAGAAAATAAAAATATAACAAAAGTAAAACAACTAGTGGAAAATATCCATCATTCTGCACGATAAGGAACCTTCTACCTAAAAGTAACACGATCAACCAAGAGACAAGTGACTGAACTTCCAAGAAAGATTGCAAAAACACTATAAAAATGGGTTATGTTCAAGCCAACCTTTAAAGAATAAGGAGAATGACTATTTCTTTAATCTTTGAGTATGGATAATGATCAACAAATTTGACTGAAATGTTAATCCTATTAGCCTTGCCTTTCAGATAAGACAAGTCAGGTAGGTTGGCAATTAGCAGGAAAGGTATGCCAAATATCTTCCCAAGAGTTCAGATGTGACAAGGCAGCAGAAAGTTAGAAAGGTAAACAAGCAAGAATATGTATTAGGTAACTCGCTACATGCATATAGCAGAAAGCCCAAAAACTAGGATGAAGGGGAAAAACATTCACAAATTTGTGACGGGTAATTGGCTGATAAAATGTCATGTAGAAGAAGAACAAACTTGGAACAAACACAAACATAAGATGAGGAGTTTGCGAGGAATGGGATATGATCACCCAATCTAGGAATTGAAGGCAGGATATAGAGACAAGGAAGTCAATTTGACTTGCATTATGGCATATTGTAGAAGCCAAATTTACTTAGACAAATTAGTGATGTATATATTAGGGAAGTCCATTTGACTTGTATTATGGCAATACACAAGTGTTGTGTGCTTCTCATTTTTGGGAATATAAGCGACTCTCGACCATATCATAGTGATGTACATATTGGAGTATGTATATTTTATAAGAATATATGGATAAATTGTTTGTAAGCATGCATATGACTCGATAGGAAGATACCCATGCACCAAAAAACTGAAACTAAGGGTACTCAAACTCGAACATCAAAGTTCAGATCATGAAACAAAAACAGACCACTTTTGCTCAACAATGCACATAACAAGGATACACTAAAATTACCCTCATTATTCACGCCTACTAGCAGTTCAGTTTCCTCCCCAGCCGGTACCACTGCATGGAAAAAGAACACACTAAGAACAATTCAACTACAAGGAAAAAAAAAATGAAATAAATAAAGGGAAAATTACATACATATCTGTTATAGTTTCTGTTATTACGACTCTACCGAATAGTTTCCGTTATTACCACCGTGTCCGTTTTTTTATGTCAAAACGGAAATTTTAGAAAAGACAACTTTACCCTTTTTCGGTTGTTAAACAAGCGAAATACACCAATTTCGATTCAAGAACCGAAGATTTAAAATTTTCTCTACCTCTCTGAAGTTAGTTATCCGATAAAATCAAAAGGGAACAACTAGTTTGAGCCTAAATTTAGGAGAAATCTTGGGCATTATGAGATTAGAAGATTAGGATAAATATTGTGGCGTATTCTCTCTCTACCTCTTTGAAGTCATGGTTATCCGATAAAATCGGGGGAACAACTAGTTTGAGCCCCTAAATTTAGGAGAAATCTCAAGGATTATGAACTTCCCCAAAAAAAAAAAGATGCTGGGTGAAGGGGAGAGAGAGAGTTTAAAAAAAAAACCATTTTTACCCATGTAATGTAGAGAGAGAGGTAGAGAGAGGATACGCATACACAAGAGAGAAAAAAATTTCTGTTCTTGAAGAACCGAAAATTTTAAATTTTTGGTTATTCAAAAACCAAAATTGGCCCCGTTTTCGGTTGTTGAACAACCAAACATACTTTGAATTTGAAAAAGGGTAAAGTCGTCTTATTTTAAAATTTCCATTTTGACATGAAAAAAACGGACACGGTGGTAATAACACAAACTATTCGGTAGAGCTGTAATAACGTAAATTATAACGGATATGTATGTAATTTGCCCATAAATAAAATTGCATCGAACAAAAGCTGAAAATATTCATCAAAAACTGATCGAACTTAAGAGTTAATCTTAATATTTATAGAAGTTATAGAAGTTGATCTTCATAATTAATTAACTTACCTTTTCCAGGATTCTTTGGGAAGAGACAAATTGTGTCTACACCAGGAGCCGAACCAAAAACTGCTTCCACAGAGTCCTGGAAATCATCACCAACAATTCCAAGATCACCGCTCTCTACAGCCTCCACCCCTTCCACATCAGACTCTCCTTCTCCTTGACACCTAACAACTATGCAGCCAAACTACAAGGTTAGTCAAACGAGCGATATAAAAAGAATGCGTTCAAGAAGCTGATACCTAGGGTTTAGAGAGAATATCAAGTAGAGGAATGCATTGCTTCAGTTTAACACTGATATTACAAAGCAATGTTTTCTTTCTCACCTCTGCCCTGTGGACTAGGCTGAGTACTGTACACCATGTAAAAATGTTAACAAATAAAAAAAGATGAAAAATTGTCAAAAACAGTTAAAAATCAGCTTAAATTAATAGTAGTAGAAATCATTAAAATACTACATAAGATTAAAAAAATAATATAAAATATGGATTATTTAATATTTGATTTATATAATGAATATTTCAGAGAAATCAATAAAAGGAAAAAAAATAAAAATTGATTCATGTGATAAGAAAAGTTCCCAAATCATCTTAAAAGCGATTCAAATTATCTAAAAGCATATTTCTAAATACTATTTATTTTTAAATTTTTTTATATTTTTTACATCCCTTTTGGTGTTTTGCAAGTTAACTCGCTACAACTTGGCCTAGCCCGAGTGGACTCAACCTAGCCCCAGTACATTGTTACAAAGAAAATTTTAAATGAGAGGGCACACGAACTATATAATAAGAATAAAAAAGTGGTCACAGATATTACCAAACCATAAAACATTTATTGAAGTTTAGATAAAACAGGATACATATTCACCACAACAACCATTTCTTTAAGTATCCTTTAATTTCCAAACCATAAAACATTTATTGACGTTTGGAATAAACAGGTACATATTCACCACGACAACCATTTCTTTAAGTATCCTTTAATTTCATAAGAAAATTACAGACATGCAATTCCTTTTTTGAGTAAAGTTGAGTGCATCAATCTGCACTGTAAAATTATACAAGAAAGAACCCTAGACAAAATAAGATATATTTAGAAGTTACAAAGACTGCCAACCCCAAATAGTTGGAACTTAAAAAAATTCCCCTTAAACAGGGTGGCTGCCCACACATACAACCATTGTTTTAAAAAGCGGATCGCCCAACCCCTAGGCAGTCCAGAAGGCTTGAGCGTGTCGCCCAAGCCTAGGCAGCAATATTAGGCGGGGCAGTCCAAGGCCTGCGCCCTGCCCAGGGGCAGAAATGCGCCACATTGAGGGTAACTTTTGGACCTTTTTTAATATAAAAGGGGCAAAATCGTGGGTTTTAGGTTCATTTGAAACCTAAACCCCATTAGAGCCTATTTTAGAAAGAGAAAAACCAAAAAAAACTAGTTTTTGGTGATTTCCATAGGATCGAAGGGTTTCTCAAAGTTACGAGAAATTGATCTAACCATCACCCATTGATATTAGATTCAGTTTTGGATGTTTTATAAATCTATTAGAGGGGGTTTTTAAAAGATTTTGAGTCCTTAAAAACATCTTAGAGGTGGAAAGTTTAGAGATCGAGCAATCAAAGTTAGTGAACTTTTTTTTTATTGCTTGTATTAATTTGATGTGTCCTGAGTCCTTAACTCTGATGTGTTATAAAGTTATATTTATATTGTTAGACTATAGAGACATTTTTCTTTCTATTGGGCCGCCCAGGTTCTGAGCGCCCGCCTAGGCGCTGGGTGGCCTAGACCCCCTGGCCGCCTAGTATTTTTTGAAACACTACATACAACTCATTTGTTAAAATTAGTTGTTCTTCTAGAACTGATGTTTGGAATCAGCTCACAGGTATAACCCAATGTATAGCATCCCAATGATGGATATGCAGTATCAACAACGATATTTATAGATTAGAAGGACAACCCAATTTGACTCCATGTTAATCACAATCAAAATACAACACCAATCAAGCCATAATGATCAAAGCATGCATTTTGGCAAGTAGATCCATCTATAAACCAACAACAAACCTGATTTACGAAGCTAACACATGGAGTTAGAAGATCAGTTTCAAGCAAAATGCAAGAAACCAATATTTTTACATCTCTATACTCAAATGGACAGCACAATATTGAAAAAATCAAAAAAGAAAAGAAAAAACATGCACACAAATTTGTGAGGATATCAACTCCCAAATGGAAGCCAACACATGCGATGGGAAGAGTTTTAATAAGATATGAAATAATTCAACGACTTAAAACTTGTGTATACGCAGACTTCTGACCCAATGAAATAACCCAACACAACAAGGAATGTGGCTTATTTCCACCAGCTGAAACAAAATCCATGGAGAAAGGAAAATTCTAAGTTCCTCAAAAATCAAGATCTAAGTATCACAAAACATTCCATCGAAGCGATTGAGAAACCAAATCTCATGCTATTAAAACAACAGCATCCTAAGTTCCTGACCAGAAAATTCCATACAGAAGAACCACAGGCACAAATGAAAGATCCATCCAAAGCAACCACCCCAACTGGACCAATTCTGATTATCAATATTCAAGCCGTATCATTCACCAAAATACAAAATAAACAGTAAATTCAGGGACATAACGAAACAAAAGAACTCTGGATTTCTCAGAAAACAACAAGTAGATCCATCTAGAATCAGCATGCATTTTGATATCCACAATAACGTTTCCCACGAGATGAGCTCAAAAGGATTACAAAGTAAATCTCAAACGAGAATAAAGTATTATATCAATCAAATTGAAGTAAACCAGCCCATATGAACAAAGATCACTGAATAAACAGATCAACATAGACTTAGTGAACCAGTACAAAAATTAAATAAAAAAAGGAAAGAGAAGTAATTGTATTGACACAAAACCTGTGAGAAATGGAGATGAGAGGAAGAGAAGGGCCATGATGAAAACCCTAAGTGTTGCAGAGGCAGCCATGGATAAGCACTCAAACCCTGGTCCTCGGCGTATACACACAAACACTAAAATGAGGACACCTATTTAACAAATGAATAATAAGCTGATTGACCAATTTTAACGCTGAAATACCCTTAAACACTATGAAATAAATTCGAGGCAGCAAGCAAGGGAAGAAAAAGAAAAGCCCCCAGATTTTTGTTTGCAATTGACGAAAAGACCCTTGGTTTTGTTTTGGATGAAGTTCTATGCCTACTCCTTATCAAACAAAGTAAAGCCTCACTTAAAAACCCCATTTTGGAAAGTGCTTTCGGCAAAAGAAATCTTCAAAAAGGTCATGAAATCAACTTAAACCCAGAAAACAATCCAGATCTTAAGACTTAAAAACATTTATTTTTAGGGCTAAATGGACAGTCTAGATAATCTGTTACAATAAATACTATTTTTAGAGTTTGAAATCTTTTTTCTTTTTTACAACCATAATGTTCAAATCGAGAAGATTTTCCTATACTTGAATTGCAATTTCAATGAGTTATGAAATGAGAGTTTACTTATTTTGATAGTGCTACAGCCCTATCAAATCATTTTCCTTTAGTTTAAGGTGTACACCTGAGATAATTAAAGTGAGGCGCATTTTTAAACTCTCTTGAAAGATATAGAGTTTTGGCTCTTTGGAACTTTTTGACGATATAAAATTTTTATTTTCACCTTTAATTATGAAATTTTAATATTAAAAAATAGTGCGGGTCAAGCATATCTATATACACTCAAAATTTTTGAAAATAGACATTCTAGATAATATGGTACAAAATGAATTATTTCCATTACTTTAAATCCATTTTTTCTTTCATATCCATGCATATCGAGGTCGAGATGACTAATTGGATGGCTTTCCAAACATCGAAACTGAAAGTTAGAACTATGTGATCTTTTGCTTGGGAATACAATTTTCTTTTTAATGATAATAATCACCCTTTTTGTATTTTGGCAAAAAGATCACTTAGAGATGGTCTTTTTACAATCAATAAATATTTCAAAATAAAGTAGGACAATAATAAAAATAAAACTCAACCACTTGATGCCATTTTTACAACTTAATATTACGTTTGAGAATATAAATAAAAGAGCAAGAAGGTAAAAGAGAAGATGTCGGAGATTACCTCAACCGGGCTTATTACGCCCCACACCAAGTCACCACATCCAATGGCACGGGATCAACGGTCTAGCTTCAATCTCGAACCGAGAAAGCTAATTTCGGCCAAACTAAGCAACTACCTTTAAATCTCTAAAAACCGCTAACTCCAAAATAATTAGGCTCAAACCCTAATTTTCTCAACCCATAAATCTTTAGATCAAGAGAAAGAAAATGAGACCTAAGGTTGGAGCGTGCCCCATATGGGTCTTAGGAGAGAGAGAGAGGGTTAGAGAGAGAAATTCTGAGAGGAGAGAGAGAGGCATGGCCCCTAGGGAGGAGAGAGAGAGTATATGGGAGAGAGATGTGTCTTTAAATGGGGAGAGAGCACCTTATTTATAGTGCAAAGTTAGGTTTAGGGTTTCCCATAGTTTGCCTCTTTTTTGAGATTGAATATGGACCGTTGATCAAGGTGACTTGTGAGATGAGAGATCTGAGTCATTCATTGCATAGATGGGACATCAACATTATGGAAGGTGCATAGACCATTATTCCCCTTTTCTTAAACCATTTTCCCATCAACATTAAATCTAATAAAATATTATTCATTCCATAAAGTAGCATGTTCCATCTCATATATTCCATAAGAATATGTCAAATATTATCAAGTTAATATATGCTACCATATTTAAATAAGATAAGTTCAATGTTTACTATATACTCAAATTGACCATATCCCTTAAAACATACTTTCCATAATATGTAAAACTTCAACACAAAGTAATCAAAAAAGTATCCAAGGGGTGGGACGTGCCACCCCTATGTGGCATATGTGGGCCCCACCCACATACCACATGGTGGGCCCATGTGCACTATGGGCCCCCATGTAATTTTTATAAAAACATTTTTAAAACAAAATAATAAAATATTATTTGAATTTCTATAACCTTTTAAAATTAATTACTTTATTTTTATAAGTCCAAAAACATAAATAAAATATTAAAATATTCATAAAAATTCAAATAATAAATCTAAAATAGTTTCTATAATAAAATGAATACAATTAAATTAATATGATGGGAAATGGATCCATATGGCTTACAAATTCAATCTGCAATAATGGGGTAGTCCACCTTTAATTGTGGACTATAGACCACATTTGTTTTATCGAACCGACCCAGTGTTTCCCATGACCCACAGTCTAAGCAAGGGCTCATTGGGGGTCACCAAAGTCTGGTCGATGAGCCAAGGGGTCACAATCTCAGTCTGTGGATTACAAGTCCTCTCCTAGAGACGAGTCAAGGTCACTACGACCTGATGCGACCATAACTCCATGGTACATAGGGGTATCTCTCACACATGCATACACTTCACCTAAGGGTGGATAACTGGCTTTTCCGAACGATCTATCGATAAGCATGTTGTGTGATGAAATATGAATGAGGATTGGCCTCCATCTCTATAGGCTTACCATCACACACAAGGGTCACATAGTCCCTCGGCTCACTCATCCAAGCATAAGCTTCGATCTTATCAAGGACTAACCCAAAACGCTTATCGGTTTATTCTTTATGGCTACCTTGGGTTTCCAACCGACTGGCCTAGATCGTCAAGCACAGTTCTGTATCAGCAAACATCATTTGCTTAATATGGTCCTTGAGGTAGCACACTCCCACTGAGTTTATGTCCCACTATAAAAAATATTTTTCATTACACACTCATAAAAGCCTTTAAAGGCCACATAAACCCAACATCTCCCACTTGGATTTTGAAGGTCTTACATTCTCTCTTCCTTACTTTATCTTATCCCCATCTCTCTCACATGCCTTACAAAAATATTAGGGACAACTCCCTTAGTCAGAGGATTTGCAATAATCAAATTTGTAGATATATAGTTGATCTCGATCTCTTTCAATCTCACTTCATTTTTCAAGTGATAGAAGTATAGCTTTATATGTTTGGAATTCTTGTGAAACTAAGGCTCCTTAGAGACACAAATAGCCACCGTGTTGTCACAGAAAATTCGCACTGCCTCATAATATACAGGATGAAAATTAAGTTGATTAAGAAACTTCTTAATTCACACGGCCTTTTTGGCTGCTAGACAGCATGTCACATACTCGGATTCCATGGTGGACAAAGCCACAATATCTTGTTTCTTTGACTTTCAAAAAATCCCACATCCTCCAAGCATAAACACATACCCAGATGTAGACTTCACATCATCTGGATCCACGAGATAGCTTGCATTTGAATATCCCTCTATTGTTATTTCAGTTCCCTTTTTATATGTGAGCGCAAAGTTCATAGTCCCCTTTAAATATCTGAAATTATTTTTACTACTTTCTAATGCTCATCTCTTGGATTGCTTTGGAAACGGCTCACCAGACTCATGACAAATGACAAGTCTGGTCTTGTTCTCGTCATGGCATATATAAGGGACCCAACTGCTCTCCTGTAAGACACTCTCTCCATGGCTCTTATATCCATGTATTCGGAAGGACACATTTTATTACTAAGCTTTGTCTTTTTGTCAATTGAGGTAGACATGGGCTTGCCATACTCATATCAAACTTTTCCAATATTTACAGTAAGTTGCTTGGGAAAGTTGGATAGTCTTATCTCTCATGTTTCTTATTATCTTGATGCCCAACACATATGAAGCTTCTCCAAGATCTTTCATATCGAAGTGTTGCGCAAGGAAAATTTTCGTCTCTACTACTAGGGCAATTGAGCTACTAACAATTAGCATATCATCCACATATAGCAATATAAAGATCACATCACTCCCACTGACCTTTTGATATATGCAATAATCTTCATTATTAGTAGAGAACCCTACAAGAGCAAGGGTCTCTTGGAATTTTATGTACCATTGTCACGATGCTCGTTTCAGGCTATAAAGGGATTTACTAAGTTTGCACACTAGGTTCTCTTTCCCTTTCTCCTCAAATCCCTCAGGTTGGGTCATGTAAATTTCTTTTTCAAAATCCCCATTTAGAAAAGTTGTTTTGATATCCATTTGATGAACCTCAAAGTCAAAATAGACTACTATAGCTATAAGGATTCGGATGGATAGAAATTTGGCAATAGGGGAAAATGTTTCCTCATAATCTATCCGTTATTTCTGGGTGAAACCCTTTGCAACCAATCTAGCTTTGTATTTTTCTATTTTCCCTTTAGAGTTCAACTTTTTCTTGAAAATCCACTTACAACTAAAGGCCTTATGCTTTTAAGGTAGATGTACTAATTCCCATACATGATTTTGGTTAATGGAAGCATACTCATCTTTCATGGCTTCTACTCAGTATTCCCTTTTAGGACAGGTCAAGGCTTCATGGTAAGTTTTAGATTCTGAATCTGGATCTTTTCCAACTTTATCAAAATGTTCCCCAAGGTAAACAAATTGTTCTAAGTATAGAGGTAGTCTTGGTTCAGGTAAAAGTTCACTTTATTTAAGGAGTTCAGTTTTAGGTTGGGTTGGTTTAGAAGTTTCAGGTTCAGGGTCTCGAATTACATCATTGTTTTTGGCTTCCTCATAAAAGTCGACTCATTTTCTAAGCACCCTTGCTTCAAAGAACTCTTCCTTGAAGAAGTGAGCATCGCGACTTTTATTAACCACTTTGGTTTCAAGATTGTAGAATCGATACCCCTTACCATGAGCTAGGTAACCAATGAAAATGATTTTGACAGTTTTGGGTTACAATTTGGTTCTATTTTGATGTGGGATAAGGACATGGGCTAGCAACCCCAAACTCTCAGGTGTTTAAGGGAGGGAGTACGACCTGTGAAAATTTCATGAGGAGTAAATGTGACAGCTTTTGTGAGAGTTCGATTAAGGATGTAGCATGTCACCAACACGACTTCTCCCCAAAAGTTTAAGGAGATATTTCAATACCCCATCATACTCCTTACCATTTTAACTAAGGTCTTATTCCGTCTATCAGCTACACCATTTTGTTCGGGAGTATAAGACATGATGTATTGATAGATAATTCCACTTTCAACGCAAA